TGCCCCCAACAATCTGGGTCCTCATTTTACCCACCTCGGAAGGATGGAAGGCTGAGTCAACCCTGAGCCGGTGGGATTTGAACCGCTGAACTGCTGATCTAGCAGTAGCCTGCAGTGCTGCATTTAACCACTGCGCCACCTTGGCTCCAAACCCTCTGCACGTCCATTTCTGCAAAGGGGGCAGGGTTTTGGTAGGCCCAAAGTGTATTCAGTGTATAAGACACACCCAGATTTTCACCCTCTTTTTTGAGGGAGAAAGATGTGTCTTATGCTCTGAAAAATGCGGTATATTGAAAATTCCACGAATTCATCTCAACACACTTCCATGGGGTCAGATTTTCCACATTGACTTCATTCTCATTCCGTGCATGTTGTTCTACAAACAGTCAACTAGAACTCTTTAATGCCATAAGTTTGATTCCTAAATGCACAATTGAATTAAATTAAATCTTGTGCAAAAGGAAAATGACCCCAACTTTCCTTGCTGCGTGTTACTTTCATTGGCTCATAGGTTGCAAGCTGGATTCCATCATCTTTAGTGGTTTTGATGATTCTGTGCAAGGAAGGAGAAAGGAATGGCTTTGGTTACTGCTTTCATTGATTTCTTCTTTTCATACAACTAGAAACATAATGTTGCAAGGAAGGTAACGGCTGATGTTACGGTGTTTAAAGATAAGCAGATGTTCAAAAAAAAAGATTTAGTGAGGTATTAAAACAGTCTCTACAGCCACTAAGCAAAGCAGTGAAGTGCCATAGACTAGATTCTGCCCTCTTTTGAATTCCCACCCTATCATCCCAAGTCATCATCCTAAACCAGTTCTCATTCTTTCTCTTTGTTCTCTCTACATCTCCGTAGGATGCTACATCAAAACCACTGGAGGTCTTACTGCTGGAGAAAAACCGCCTGCTGCAGTCGGAAAATGCCACGCTGCGGATCACAAACAGTGACCTGAGCGGTAAGTGACTGGGAGAAAAATAGGTAATTATTATTTTAGGCTGTGCTTGCACTCGGGAGATGAGGATGTGGAAAGGGAAGGGGATGTGTGAACCCAAGGCCACTGCATGACAGAAAGATGAACGGTCAGCAAGGATCTTGCCTTATCTTGGGAGTCCCCTCTTATACTATAGATAATAGACTAAGACTTTGGGGCCCTTAGAAAAATGGTAAAGGTTAAGAGGGAGAAATGTTCTCATATGTTGGGATGAGCAGCATTTGAGCCTGACTTCCAATTTCAATTGTTTTGTCTGACCGTGACACTATTTCCTATGCACACCTTTCCCAAAACGTAGACTGGCTTGTTTTCATAGCTGATTCATTCACCCAAATCCTGACTGCCTTTATTTCCATTAGCGGTGGATTTTGGCTTCATTCGGCTGCTTATGTGTTTTGTTTGGAAGGGATGCTTCACGTGCCATAAATGAACAATACAAGCGGGGCCTCCAAATAAATAGAATTTCCTGGAGTTTGGGTTTCGTTTTTCTTTCAAGTAAAGTTTCTAGAGCTGGTGCCTAATGTGTCAAGGGGCAGTTGGGTGATTGCTGCCTTGTGCGCAGTTTCTGTGTTCTTCTGTGGCTTCCTTTGAGCAATGGTTTCTATGTCTTGTATGTGTTTCATCTAGCCTTGATCAATGTTTGCTGCATTTGGGCTCAAACAAGGTCTGTTCCTCTGTGTGTGTGTGCCTGTGTGTGTGTGTGTGTGCGTGCGTGCGTGCGTGCGTGCGTGCGTAGAGGGGTATGGAACGACTCAAATGTGCAAGGAACCAAAGTAATTTTTATGTGTGCGTCAATGAATTTTAAACCAAAACACAAGAATTACGTAACTGCACTTCATGTCATTGTTCTACTGCTAATATTTGGAAGGGGGAATTCTCCAGGCTGCAACATACAAGAAAGGTGCAAACATGAAATGCATGTTGTTTGTCTTGGGGGCCTTGTTTGGCTTATTAAAAATTAAAAGAAACAAACAAAAAACAAAAACAAAAACGAAACAAAAAACCCAAACCACTTTCTTCATTGGCCCTTATTTCAAGAACAAAACAAAACGCAACCTGCACTATTTTTCCCTTTTGTGGGGCAAGCTCTGCATTTTGGTCTTGGTTTCCCCCCTTCTTTTTGATCCCCCATAATGCATTATGTTTGACCTTCCTTGTAGGGTCAGCCAGGAGAAAAGGGAAAGACCAGCCTGAGAGTCAGCGTCCTGCAACCTTGCCGGCCTCCCCTCCTCCTCAGTTGCCCCGCAATGCAGGGGAGCAGGCTTCCAATACTAATGGTACACACCAGTTCTCACCAACGGGTTTAAGTCAAGACTTTTTCAGCTCATCCTTGGCAAGCTCCGGCTTACCCCTGGCTTCTACGGGAAAATTTGCACTAAACTCTCTCCTCCAGCGCCAACTTATGCAGTCCTTCTACACCAAGGCAATGCAGGAAGCGGGAAGCACAAGCATGATTTTTTCAGTAGGTCCCTACAGCACAAACTCCATATCTTCCCAAAGCCCCTTGCAACAAAGCCCGGACGTCAACGGCATGGCCCCATCACCCAACCAATCAGAAAGCACCGGCAGCACCTCAGAAGGTGAGGAGATAGACACAGCCGAAATTGCACGTCAGGTCAAAGAGCAATTGATCAAGCACAATATCGGACAGCGGATCTTTGGACACTACGTCTTGGGACTTTCTCAAGGATCTGTGAGCGAGATTCTGGCTCGACCTAAACCATGGAACAAGCTGACCGTGAGAGGCAAGGAGCCATTCAACAAAATGAAGCAGTTCCTTTCGGATGAGCAGAACATCTTGGCTTTGCGCAGCATCCAAGGCAGGCAGAGAGGTGAGTCACGAGGCCCTGGCCTACAGCTTCTCTTTTGCGCATCTATGTTTGTCTAGATAGGAGACGCTGTCAGAAGAGAGGGGTGTCTGTGTCCATGTGTGGTTAAGTTGTCTGCTTGATGTTCAGTATATATAATGTGGAAAGAATAGAGGGGTCCTTCCTGGGAATCAAGCTGAAATGGCAGAGTAAAAGATAGGTATCTAAGGATTGTGCTCCATCTCCATGGGAATGGATGTGAACTGCTAAAAAAAAATGAGGGGGACCCCTGGGGCAGCTTCCTTTCTGTGGGGAGACGGATTCCAGTGGGCTGCGACCTGTGTAAGCTGACGGAGAGTGTACCTCTTAAACTCTCTGTCATGCATTGGGCAGCAGTGAAAGGAGGGCTGATTTTTTTTAACGAAGTTTAACTTTGTAGGACACTTTACGGATCTTGCCTGATCAATCCACAGCAGGGCAGGTTTTATCATTACATGATTCCTCTTGATTTTGGTTTGTTAAGCATACATTTACAGGAGAGATGTGTTTTTTTTTTAAGTAAAAGTTGTACTAGGACCCCTTGTCATTCCTTTGGTCAATCTCATTTGATTGGCAATGGAAAACACAGTAGTATTTGAAGTGGAGGGCTGCTACATTTCACCCATCTTTACAGGGGAATCTCCTGAGCATTTGTAAATCCAATTCTCTTGCCTAATAAGCCATCAGGTATATTGGGCTGCTAGACTGAGAACAACTTACTATGGTCCCTTAGGGCCTGGCAGATTCATATATGGCAAACGCATCTGGTGGGCAGTCTGGCTGGTTGGGGAGATGCATATAACAGTAGCAGGGCAGATAAAAAGTCTCATCGAGCATTTTTAGTGAATGGAGTTAGATGTTGCCTATGTGATATAGAGATGACATAGGCGTGTATTCTGTCCAAGGGTTATTTCTCTTTAACCACTCCAGCCCCATTCTCTTGAAAACCCATTGCAGAAACAAAACTTCTCCAAGAAATGTATTTAATTGGCTTACGTGTCCTAGGATGGAAGGTGTTTCCAGCCCTTTTCTCTATTTTTAGCACCCCCATCACTGGAAGCAAGATCCATTAAAATAATAGACCATAGACTGCAAATTTTAACTTTAATTTTTTTCACCAAAAATCAAATGCCCAACCTCTTTTAAGATTGCAAACTCATTGTAAATGTAAAGCAAAGGGAGGCAGGAGCTCCCATGTTCCTCAGTCAAAAGTATCTTAGGTAGCAGTTTGGGGGGAAATTTGGGTGACTCACTGCTAATCTTCATCTTTTAAGATCAAAAGTTCACCTTTTCTCCAAATAATAGCTATAGAACTTATATACTGCTTTATAGTGCTTTCACAGCCCTCTCTAAGCAGTTTACAGAGTCAGCCCCCAACAATCTGGATCTTCATTTTACTCACCTTGGAAGGATTGAAGGTTGAGTCATCCTTGAGCCTGGTGGGATTTGAACTGCAATTTGCAGGAAGCCAGTAGTCAGCAAAAGTGGCCTACAGTACTGTACTCTAACCACTGTGCCACTGAGGCTCTCAATACATTTGGGAAGTGCACTATATTAGAATTATTTATTGTATGCTTTATTTACTTTCAAATATTAAATCTATATCCTGGAGCAGGGGTCTCCCATCTTGGCAACTTTAAGCCTGGTGGACTTCAACTCCCACCTGGCTGGGGAATTCTGGGAGTTGAAGTCCACCAGGCTTAAAGTTGCCAAGGTGGAAGACCTCTGTTCTGGATAGTTATCAGTGTTGTCTTGCAATTTGCAGTTGGGGGGGGGGGGGAGATGGTACAAAATGCAAACTGTGAAATCAGTTTGATGAGCACAACGCAACCAACATTAACTGACAATAGAAGAAAAGCTCATAGACAGTCCTAGTTAGAAGAAAAGTGCATAGCCAGTCCTTGTTTAGCAACTGCCTCGTACAGCAACCATTTGTAGTTACAATGGCAATGAAGAAAAAAAAACTTTGCAACCAATCCTCACATTTACTACCTTTGCAGATCTGTAAAGGAAAAGGAAGCTTGAAGTAAGAGTACAGTTACACTTAGTGACCACTTCACTTAACAACTGGGCTGACTGCTCCAGCTGTGGTTGCTTTACACCTGTAGTGTAAAGACTTAAAAAAAAACCCACAGCTTTTGAGATTCAGAAGCTGGGGAATATAAAGTGTATGCATAAACGGAAGAGATGGTGCTGGGCTTTGAAACACAGGCTTGATGTGAATGCAGGTCACATCATTTATTCACTGTATTCACAATCATAGAAAGAGGTGAGAGAAGAGAGTGAGATGTCAGCGCCATCCCACTTGTAAAACCAGTGTTCCTTTACAGAAGAACTACATGTCTCAATCGTACCTTCATAAATATAATCAGATCTTGTGGGTTTTCCTCAGATTCAGAAATGTCCTCTTTAGTGGTAACTGCTGTCCTCCTATAGTGTGATTTTCACTCTTTGAGACTGAATTTGCACCCATGTGTTTGTTGTATTACCTTTGAGCCAGAGGTGTAAATAGGTAGCCATGGGAGGCTTCTTATATGTCTCAGACATTGTGCAGTAAATGTTAAGCATAGCACAGGGCTGAAACTGGTCAAGTTTCACACCGTCTTATAAGATAGCATTTAAGATCGAACGATATAATTCTGAAAGATAAAAGAATTCATAAGCAGGAATTGCCAGAGTTATACTATTCAAGATGGGGTTTACAGAGAGACAGAAAGAATGCTGGTCTGTTCGTGCTGCAAACCGGAGCATTCCTATTTTATTAAGGAATATAAAATGACTGTTTGTTTTGTTACAATCCTTGACGTTTGTTATAGCATAAGAATTTCACTCATCCAAGGATGGGAAATGCTGGAAATACATTGCATGGAGAAAGTAGGAGAGCTGTATCTTTCACCATTAAAAGTAAAATCTCCTCCTTGGTCTCTGTAGAGGCAAACAGGCAGACAACACTCAACTGCAGCTGTCATTTTTTTCTCTGTAACTGTGAGAACTGAAAACATGAATTCTTAGCACATACATTTTCTCATACAGTGCCCCGCTAATACAGTAGCCAATGAGAGCCCAGTTACAGCCACCTGAGCATACAACGGTTATGCACAATTGTCTAGTGCTTAC